CCCCCCCCCCCCCCTTCAGCTCACCAGCTTCAAACTCCTTTGATACCACACAGGCAGGATGTCCTCTCACCGTTGCACCGTGTGGGCAGGTGGGCGCCCACCCCACCTCACCTCCTTGGGTGCAAGCTCCTCTGGCACTGCAAACTGTGCTGCACCATGCTCCCTGGGGAGAGACGGGAGAGGAGCCTGGAGACCCCTGCTGCAGCAACAGCCAGAGCAATAAGGGGAATGGTGGACAGGGGAGCCCAGAGGCCTCAAAGTAACCTTTTACAGGCTGCATATGGCCCATAAGCTGCCAGTTGGACAACACTGCTTTAGGGCATATGAATTATCAAAAATGTAGGCTCCTAAATAAATATCCCAGTTTTTGAAAGACTGAGTATTCTGCTGCAGTGAACCAGAGCTGCTGGGTACTGGGCACTTTTGAAAAATCATATTTTGGTAGTTAAATACTGAGGCAAAAGCATAACTACTCATTTTTAATAACTTGGTTGTAGGCTTCAATCCTTACCTCTATCTCTGTCTATAATTGTATTTCCTGTCATCTTCAGTACAGGGATTTATTTTCCCCCATAGCAAACTTTGTCCTTTTCAAAATAAAATTCCTGCTTTTAAAACTATTTTTAAACTTCATTCTCAAGGCTGCAGAGATGTGAGGAACAAAAATATCGGTTTGTCATTCAGTTTGAAAGACAAATTATTAATGATGTTTAACAGACATTTAAAGAAGACATTTTCCACACACTTAAAGATATTGGAACAAATGTTACATATCTTTCCTACGATATCAGAATGCAATTTCCCATATTGCATTTATGAAAGTTAGACCTGGCAAAAATATTTGCTTTCAGCTCAGGTTTCAGGTCCTATTAAAGTATGTGTTTCACCCAGAGAGAAGCTGGAAAGCTTCCAGAAGCAAGTATAGATCCTAATTTAATTTCGGCAGCTGTTATGGTGAGTTTGCCTAGGGGTAAAAAGTATGACTAAAACTGTAACTTGTTTTATTCCTTTCCAGCCTACATGGGCTTTTAAGCTGAAAAGAGCTGCATCCAATTAATATTTTCTGAAAGTAAAAATATGCTGTGACAGATATTAAATTCTTCATTCTTTCCTGCTTTTATTATTAGTATGTAGAGCAGCCAGAGGAGGGGTGCTGAGCACAGAATTTCAGACAAGCTGCCTATTTTGCATATGGGAGGCAGCCGAAGTTTCAGTGCACATGGAAGTCAGGAGAACAAGGCTGAACAAGGTACTGTAAGCAGAATGCTGGCTGCTCCTTTGACACAAATCATCAGTGTCTTTTCAGAACGAGATAATACAAATCAGCACTATTACTGTAGTCAGAAAAGCTTAAAACACATCTAGTTCTAAGCTGCCAAAACCCTGGGCCCCTGATAAGGATCCCACGCCACTGGGATAAACCCATGGCTTGTTACCAGGAAGCCTTTACTTATTGCTGTGTCAGAACGATAAGGATTAGCCCCAGGAGGCCCAGACCCAAGCTTTCCTTAGTTATAATGTACTTTTATAAGGAGCCCAAAGGTATACAGCTAGTTTGCACTAGAGAAAGAGGGGAATGTGGCTACTGTGGCTATAGCTGTATGGCCTTAAGTGTAATTCTATGGGTGCTGCCATAGGATAAACCCCACTCACATCCAGGCCATATAGGACCGTTTTATTAGGCAGCATGAATGGAAGTATAAATATGGGGTGGCAATTGGGCGAGTGGTAGAGATGGTGGTGTCGATGTGAGGCTTTGTCTTCTTCGACAATGGGTGGATGTTCTTGGGAAGAGGGCTGCTATCAAAAGATGGGATCCATCTGATGAGAATGGGGAAGAGCATCTTTGGGCATCATCTGGCCAACCTAGTAAGCAGGGCTTTAAACTAGGTTCTGTGGGAAATAGTCATCAAAAGCCTCCAGTAACAGAGCATGCAGTCCAGAGGGAAAAGGACTTGAAGAAGTAACTCAGCTCTGGGAAAGGGCCAGAGAACTACAGGACTGCAACAAGTGCCATAAAAGGGAAGCAAGGGGGTTAAAATGCAAAATACATTTGATGCATGAATACAAATGCGAGAAGTATGGGGAATAAACAAGATGAGCTGGAAGCTGCAGCCTGTGAAAAGAGCTATGATATGATAGGCATCACTGAAGCCTGGAGGGATGGCTCTTATGACTGGAATGTGAACAGAGAGGGTAATGCTGTTTCGGAAGGACAGAGTTGGGAGAAAAGGTGGTGGTGTTGCCCCATATGTCAACAACACGTATACTTGTTCTCTGGTTCAGGAGGAGGAAGATGGCAAAGCAGAATGCATTTGGGTGAAGATGAAAGGTGAAAGATAT